ATATCGACGCACTACTCCACGTAGTACTAAGCGGTGCTCATCAACGATATCCAACATGTATATAAATGTGTAATCAACATTTATCTCAAGTGTAATTGAAACAAAAATTCATCATAATCCCCTTTCAGGATACTTGTGGTGTGCTACGATACTATTCAAGTGTACCCATGACTGTACATGTATCATCGTACGGCTCGATCCCCACGATCGCATTCAAGAAAACGCAAGAAACAAAACTACATGTCAAAAATATCCCAGGTCGGTCGACTGCCCCATGGGTGTCGGTCGACCGAATAGAGGATTGTGCACAACATGCACACATATGACTTTACCGATCAACCACCCCTAGGGCGCCGGTCGACCGGCTAGAGCAATATCTGGTTCTTAGGTTTTCGGGTTTGCATAATTTGTAACTATATTTAAACACTTATTTATATCATCATGATACATATAACAATATTAAAACCCTAACATTAAATAATAGAATATCATATCCACAAAATTAAACTTTTGATTTAATCTAATCAGGGTTAACATCCTAATTAATCAATTTCTCGAATAAAACATAAAATTTGTCCACAAGATTAATTGAACATGATAAATTCTACATAATTAACAGAGATGAAAAATTATTTAAACATGTTTACAGAACTTAGGTATCATAAACCTACGGTTTAAACATCTCTCTTTTACATAAAAACTCAATTAATAATAAATCTAGGTTTAAACATGATTAGGACATGATTAACAAGTTAAAAAAAATTAAAAGTAACCTTAATGATCATGATCATGTTACTAACATAAACAGTAAGAAATAAACTTCATATCTATCATTAGATTAAGATTTAACCTCAAAAATCATGTTTTTAAAGCATGTGGTTAAACTTCAACATGAGATTCATCATTATAATTAATAAAAAGTTAATATTTATTAAGGAAAGGGTTTGGAGGAAGATGATCTTTTCTCAAACGCTGATATAAAAGCTCAACAATGCCAGAAAACAAGTTCTCCCTCGCCAAAAGCCAACAAACCCGCCCTCTTCTCGGTATTTACTTCACAAAGCTCTCAAAATTCACCAAAAAGGGATCTAGAGTCTTTGAGGAGAGAGGGTGACTACTAGGGTTCAGATATTTGATAAAAAAAGAGAATTTTCATGAAAAACACTAGTATTTATAGAGGCAAACTCGAAACAAACATGTTTGACCCGAACCAAGAAACCTAGTCTGACTAGAAAAATAACCTTCGGTATTTTGGCTATAACTTTCTAGTCCAAACTCAGAATGAGGTGATCTAAGATTTGTTGGAAAGCTATTGAAAAGTCCTACAACTTTTATTTTTTGAATATGTCCAAATTCTTACGATATCGGTGTGTAAAATATAAAAAAATTTAACTGATTGTTTTTTCATATTCAAGCTCGTGCATGTCGTGCATGATTTCACTCCTATATTCATATATATACATTGGATTAATCTCAAATCAATCCCTAACATACTCAAACATCAAAATATATTATCTATCACCATATAACATATTTATTATTATTTTTTACATGATATTTAAATTTTACGGGGTTTTACATAAATCTCCTTTCTTATAAATTGACTTATAATTTTGTATTTTTAATTACTATAAACACACTAAATGCTTTTTCAGTACTATAGTGAATAACAACTAATCTTCCATTATTGTAGGAGATAGAATTTTTAAGAAAAAAAGACATAAGGGAAGTGAGCTTAAAAAAATACCACTGGATGACTTTCGTGCAATTTTAATGTGGGGGTGCAGTGGGCTTCTAACTCGACAATAGGCTAACAACTTTAGTTCATATCTTGGATGTTTGGTACGTAGAAGTGATTGTCCTAATCCATATTACCAAACTGAGCGGCAGCCCTTTCATGTCTTGGAGAGTATATATCGAGATTTTTGGATAAATTATACTACTTTTTCTTATTTATTTTGCTTTTCTAGTCGTTTGGCCCTTCTTAACTATATGTCAATCTTTAGAGATATTTCAACGTCAAAGACAATCATGTAGAGTGAGATATTTTGTTTGAATACATGGGAAAGTTCAAGCATGCTCTTCAAGAATGGAGACATGAGATAAAAAAGAGATGCTTTGAAAGTTACAGTGTGAACTAGGAGAGGATCTAAAAATGAGATCTGAGGATTGACCAGGATTATTTAGCTGCATTTATATTATTGTGGGGCCAGGAAGAGCACCATGTAAATATTGATCCATAGCTATTTAAACATTTCACTAACAGATTGTATTTTAAGAAATCAGATGTCATAAGAAAATATTCTATGTCAAAAATATTTGTAATAGGTAATATGTATAAATGTAGAATTTTCAAGGAAATCAAAAGCCTTAAGCTTGTATAGATGATTAGTTAGATGTCATTTGAATAATTAAATTGAGCTTATGCTTATAAATCTATAAACCACAAATAAATGATGAAGATTTCGAAGATTTCTTGCAAATTTGGGGCACATGCTATTGAAGTTATAATCTCAAGTGTCAATAAAATAAGAATATTTTTTTATGCTAAGCCTAATTATACACAATCAAATTCTATTAACTAAGAAAATATAAACAATGAAAGAAAGCCATTCAATGTGAAGATGAAGATTAGCAAATGATTTTTATATTAACAGAAATTGAATTGAACTTATCTATCTGAATTTAGCGATATATTTCGTTGTATATTATATATCGTACTTAATTCTCTTTGTTCTTGTTGAAGAAAAAGTGTGAGAAAAATTAGCATAAGCGATGGAAGAAAGAGTATGATTCCCATACAAGGACTACTTCATTTGCACAGATTGAGGATCAAGCACTACTTGAGCTTCACTTAATGACAAACATCTAGGCAGTATGTTGTTAAGCGATCAGCAGTATAATGTCTGTCTGACAGAGTCGTAAAAGTAGCGAGGTTTCTTCTTTGCATAGGGATTACATGTTTCGAATCGTCAAGCAATATGCCATATAAGACGTAGTCGACGATTGAGTAACACTAGTCATTGGGTTCGAGATCCCTAGATGCAATATGAACCTCATTGGCTCCAAGATCTGCTTCGAACAACATAACTAATAGCTGGTTACCATAATGTGCTTAGTAGATGTGAGCATCGGTATAAGTATTCTTAAAGTGAGCTATGTAGTTAATGTAGAAGCCTTTGAAAGAAGGAGTGAGTCAATGTCGCTTCATGGTATGGTAAGAGATCATTGTGT